TATAAATAATCTATAAGCATCGTAGTATCGAAAAAAAGTCGGTTTTCCGATTATGTTGCTAGCTGCAACATGTAAAAATTAAATAGTTTATCCCGTCCGACCGCGTCGCGCGCTCTAAGTTCTCTTGCCAAAATCTTTTCTAGATTTTGTTGTCTCGCATAAATAGACATATAAATCATCTATAAGCATCGTAGTATCGAAAAAAGTTGGTTTCCGATTTTGTTGCTAGCTGCAACATGTAAAAATTAAATAGTTTATCCCGCCCGACCGCGTCGCGCGCTCTAAGTTCTCTTGCCAAATCTTTCTAGATTTTGTTGCTCGCATAAATGAGACATATAAATCATCTATAAGCATCGTAGTATCGAAAAAAGTTGGTTTCCGATTTTGTTGCTAGCTGCAACATGTAAAAATTAAATAGTTTATCCCACCCGACCGCGTCGCGCGCTCTAAGTTCTCTTGCCAAATCTTTCTAGATTTTGTTGCTCGCATAAATGAGACATATAAATCATCTATAAACATTGTAGTATCGAAAAAAGTCGGTTTCCGATTTTGTTGCTAGCTGCAACATGTAAAAATTAAATAGTTTATCCCGCCCGACCGCGCCGCGCGCTATAAGTTCTCTTGTCCGAGCATTCCAGATTTTGTTGCTCGCTGGTATAAAAATAATGATTTATATACCAAATTTTTGCGAGCAACAAAATCTGGAAGACTCGGGCAAGAGAACTTAGAGCGCGCGGCGCGGTCGGGCGGGATAAACTATTTAATTTTTCATGTTACAGCTAGCAACAAAATCGGAAACCGACTTTTTTCGATACTACGATGCTTATAGATTATTTATATGTCTCATTTATGCGAGCAACAAAATCTAGAAGGATTTGGCAAGAGAACTTAGAGCGCGCGGCGCGGTCGGGCGGGATAAACTATTTAATTTTTACATGTTGCAGCTAGCAACAAAATCGGAAACCGACTTTTTTCGATACTACGATGCTTACAGTTTATTAATATACCAAATTTATGCGAGCAACAAAATCTGGAAGGCTCGGGCAAGAGAACTTAGAGCGCGCGACGCGGTCGGGCGGGATAAACTATTTAATTTTTATATGTTGCAGCTAGCAACAAAATCGGAAACCGACTTTTTTCGATACTACGATGCTTATAGATTATTTATATGTCACATTTATGCGAGCAACAAAATCTAGAAGGATTTGGCAAGGGAACTTAGAGCGCGCGGCGCGGTCGGCCGGGATAAACTATTAATTTTTACATATTGCAGCTAGTAACAAAATCGGAAACCGACTTTTTTCGATACTACGATGCTTATAGATTATTTATATGTCACATTTATGCGAGCAACAAAATCTAGAAGGATTTGGCAAGGGAACTTAGAGCGCGCGGCGCGGTCGGCCGGGATAAACTATTTATTTTCTACATGTTAGAGTTAGCAACAAAATCGGAAATTGTTATATTTTAATAGTACGATGCTTGCAGATTGTTTTTATATCGAATTCATGCGAGCAACAAATTCTGAAAGAATCGGGCAAGGGAACTTGTAACGGGCAAGGCATACTATGTAAGTTTTCTGCTATTGTTTATGTTTATTTTGCGAGTAATTAAATCAAAACTAACATATTTCGTGAGCAACAAATTAGCAACAAATTCTGACGTTACTTTTATGCATAATTTTGTTGTCATATATATATTGTTCTGCTAACTTAATCTTCCTTTAGCAGAACATCATTTTTAAAAAAAACTATAGAGCAACAAATTATTTTCTTTGGCAACTTTTTTAGCAACAAATGAGCAACAA